AGATTAAGGTTGAGATTGATATTGAGATTGGGATGTGCATTATTATTGAACTAAAATGATATTTAGATAGAATTTTTATATATCAATTTGTTTATTCCAAATTATTGAGATTGAGATTGGTATGGTAATTAAACTAGAGTGCTATTTATATTTAATATCTATTTATAAAGTTACTTATTCGAAATTATTTACATTGAGATTAATATATGTATGATTGTTAAAATATAGTAGTATTTCTATATATTGAATTTGTATACATAAAGAAATTTAATTTAAAATTATTAAGATTAAGATTAACATATGTGGTTATTGACATGTATGGTTATTAGTTGATATGTTGATATACTTTGTGAAATTGAAATTCAAATTAGGTAATTAAATGATGGACGACCGTAGTTGGATAGATCATCATGTAGATGATAGTGGTTCTGTTACCAATGAATTTAAAGAGGCGGTGCAACTTTTTGTGAGATTTGCATTTTCAAGACTAAAAGCAAAATCAAAGATTAGGTGTCCTTGTTTGAAGTGTGAATGTAGAAAATGGGGAACCCTAAGGTTGTCTCCATGCATTTGAGTAAGCATGGGTTTATGAATAACTATTATATATGGTATGTTCATGGAGAGACATCCAACAATACAGGAAGAAATTTTAAAGGGGAATCTTTTAATATGGAGTTTGTTAGAAATGAGGTAGGTGCATTGTACCATGAAATGGTAGTTGATGCAATGGGTTCACAGTTTGAATACAATGAAGGGCCAATGGTTGAGGAGCCAAATAGTAAGGCAAGAGAATTTTATGATCTCTTGCATACTGTAGAAGTTCATATAAGTGCCAGGGGATAGGATGTTACAGTACTTTTATGGATGGCAGAGATGCTAAACATGAAAACTCTTTATAATATGAGTGTTGTTAATTGTGAGATGGCATTGTCATTGAGTCAAAAGTTGTTGAGTCCAAAGGACCAAGAAAAGGTACCAAAAGATTTCTATAGTGCCAAAAAAATAATAAATGTGCCTGGACTTGGGTACAAGACAATTGATGTTTGTGTCAATGATTGCTTCTTATACTATGATGAGCAAAGTAAGAATTTAACTGCCTGTCCAGTGTGTGGAGAATCCCATTATAAGCTGAGGAATATGGCTGCTATAAGGCAGAAAAATGTTCTAAGGAAATCTTTGTGGTACCTTCCAATTACCCCAAGATTGCAGTGATTATACCTATCTAGGAAAATAGCAGAGCACATGACATGGGATTTGAAATGCCGTGAGGATGCGGATGAAGTTATTCATCCTACAAGCAGTGAGGCACGGAAACACTTTGATGAAACCTACCCAACATTTGCTGAGGAACCTAGAAATGTTAGACTTGGCCTCTACACAGATGATTTCAATCCATTGGGTTGCTCTGCAACACCTTACTCTTGTTGGCTTGTCTTTCTTACAATGTACAACCTTCATTCTAAATTGTGTATAAAGTCAGAGCATATATTTCTTGCCATGATAATTGCTGGACCTAAAAGTCCAGGAAAAAACATTGATGTTATGCTTAGGCCATTGATTGATGAACTTAAGGAATTGTGGACAAATGGGATTGAAACTTATGATAGTTTCAGGCAACAGAATTTTATCTTGAAAGCTACATTGCTATGGACTATAAGTGATTTTCTAGGTTATGGCATGTTATCTGGATGGAGCACACATGAGAAGTTGTCATGCTCTTATTGCATGGAAAACACTAAGGCTTTTCAACTTCAATATGGGAGGAAAACATATTTTTTTTATTGTCATCGTTGATTTCTACCTCCTAAACATCCATTTCATA